ATTAGGGTGCATCACCAAAAAAAAAAGTTGTGGATTTTCCACCTTAATTATCTTTTTAAGATGCATTTGAAGACTTGTGCCACAATATTTCAAAAATATCAAGTTTGATGTGAGTTAGACCGATTTTAAAATACCTAAAAAATCTCATTATTTTTTAATTCCGTTGATAAACTTTTCAAAATTGTTTTTGTGCAGACCTTTGAAGCCTAAACTCTTCTAGCATCTGGGGTGATATTTTAGAGGAAGTATTTTCTAAAACTAATTTGATTTATAAAAAATCTATTTTTGGCGGTATTTTAAATCTCAATATTTGTCCGAAATATTTTGGCGGAATTTTTTAAAACATAATGAACTTAATATTTTCAGTGGAAAAACAGTACCGATTTTTTTTTTGTATGGTGAGTGATGTACCCTAATGTACCTACATTTGGATACTAACATCTGCGCATATACATATATAAATGTATGTAAGTATGTGCATTTATGATTCGTAAGTAAATATTATCTCGAGGCCACAATTACATATGTATGTATGTATTAGGTAAATTCATAAAAGGATTACAGGACAACTTAAACGGAATGTATGTACTTTAATAATTAACTAAATAATTATTAATTAAGCTGAAATTAAATATAGCTAATAATAATAAGCTGATATTAAATAGATATGCATCTATAAGTGAATGATGCTCACAAATAAAAAAAAAAAGAAAAAGCAAAAAAAAAAACGGCAAACCACATGTACACACTAGGATATGTATATGTTTGTATATACATATACTCAATTTGTAAATTGATCAAAAAAAGAACCTACCAAATACTTAATAGTGCATATCCCACATCAGTTGTTGCTTATGTTACTTCACAAACCATTTTGTTCAAGTTTTGAACAAACACCTTTAAAATGTGTGTTTCTTACAGGGCAATTCTGGCTAAGGTAGTGCAAAATTCTTTCTTAAGACAGGTGAAAGACAGATTGCAAGACAGTTTGAAAGACTTTCTAGTATATTTATTGGTGAAAACACTTGTATATCGGGCAGCGAATATTTTTTTACTGTAAGTTTTTATTTTTTTAACTTATTGTTTTTTGTTATTAAGAAAGATATATAATTTTTTTTTGATTTTATTTAATTTTTAGAATTTCAATTTAATTTTTTCAAATTTTTTTTTGTAATTTTTAGAAACGTGTTTTATTTAAAAAAAATATTTATATTTTTCTTATTTATTCCATGTAATTTTCTTTTATGTTTTAGATTTAATTATTTTAAGAAGAAAAATATATCTCTTTTATTAACCGACTTCACAAAAAAGAGAAGGTTATCAATTCGTCGGAATATTTTTTTTTTGTATGTTACCAATGTCAATGATTCTTTTTTTTAAAGGAAAGGTGTTAGCTCACGGGTGGTCCCATACTAATTTGGTTTAAATCCGATCTATGGATCATGAGGAAGTTTACGATTTTGTTTTTTTGCTTAAAAATTACTTGCTTTATTTAATCTTTAGGATCTTATTTATTTGTTTTTAATTTATATTTTGGTCTTCCTTTGATTTAATTTGTTTGAATTTTAGATTTTTTTTTTAATAGAAATATATTTTTTAATTTTATTTAATTTTCTTCTTTTTTTGTTCATTTTTTTCTTTTGTAATTTTATTATCTTTTCATTTATTATGAAGATAATTTTTTTGATTTCAATAATAAAAACAAATTTAATTTATTTTATTATTTATTTATTATTTAAATATATATCTACATACATTTGAAATTTTCCTTTCCGGTCTTTCTTTGTCGAGGTAGCGGTCATTCTGGCTTGCATATCGGCTTCCTCATTTCCTCCGCCTCCCATGTGCCCTGGTACCCATAACAATGGGATACCGTTGTTCTCCAGGGCGGGCATCAAGCTTCTCTTTACACTCTGGAACCAGTAAGGATTTGACCTCGAAGAATGAGAGAGGCTTGAGAGAGGCAGACTGATGGCATAGATTTCCGCTTGGAAGACGTTTGGAAAAGTTACCGGTGACTTCGAAAGCTTGAGTCAATCAAAAATAACATAAAAAATTTATGAAAAAAAATAAAAATCAAAACATAACGGTTAAATTTGATAGGATAAATGGAAATTTAGTGTTAATGGTTAACTCATTATTTTTATTATAAAGATCATAACCGTTGCGGTCTCTGTAAAATATAGATAAAAAATATTCCGCTGAATACAAAATAAATATAAGTTTTTATGAAAATGGGGTGGTAAGTTATGGCAGACTGTCAGCGTAGATCCAAAACAAGAAGTGTTTATGGCAACAGGTTCTTTCAATATACTATTCTGTGCGATTACTAAGTTTGCTGATCATTTATTATTATACTGTGTAATAAGGTTATCGAAAATTTGAACAAATTTGTTTAAAACAAAATTTGTGTTTGAAGGGCAACCAAATTCTAAAAGCTACTTGAGAAAATGGCCCTAAAACATAAAAAATTGCGTCGAGATAAAATCAAAAAAGTTTTTTTTTCAGTGCACTAAACGATAGCATTTTGCTGCCAGCGGCGCTCGTCAGGCCCTTTACTTGTTTTTTTTTTCCAACTCACATAAATGTGATTCTTTTGATAATTTCTGAATTTATCAGTTGGCTGAACAATAGGCAGGCAAAAATATGGTTTACTTTACAATTTTATTGCGACATATGAACGTAGTTATTATTTTCGTTAACAAAAACATTTTTTTCCATCTATTTCAAATATTATTTTAATGCTTCTTTTTTCGAACCCGTTCTATGTGCACCTCGTGCAAATGTCAGCTACATTCTAGTTAGTTTAGCAGTGACCACAAACTGTTCTCTTTGCCAGTTTGTCGGTTGAGTTTTTCACCCGATCTTAATTTGCATATCAAACGCCGACAGACTATCATCTCCTCGAGCATTAAGTGGCATGCCAGTTGTTGAATGAGTTGTTACAGTTATTGTTGTTTTGCATAATTTTCATTGTTGTTGTTGTTGTTGTTGTTGTTTTAGCCACAATACAATTGTTTGTGTTTTGTGAAAGATCAAAGGATAGGAAATTACATGTTTAGGCATACAAGTTGATGCAAATATGTCTGTGTTTTTGTGCATATCAAAAAGTTTGCAGCTTATTAGGGTGGCAGAAATTTTCAAAAACTTTTTCTAAAATTTTAATTTTTATGTTTATTATTTTTGGTTTGTTTATGTATCAACACGTATACGACAAATTTTTTGAGCTGTATTTTTTAGTGTCACTTCTTTCTCTCACCAGAAAAAAACGCGAAAGCATTCTTTTTGCATACATTTCAATCAATTGAGTTCCAGAAACAAGCACAATAAAAAAATATATCAATTATTTGAACAATTTTAGCCTTTAAACATTTATTTAGGCGAAAAACTACGGGAATTACTACTTTTTTCATTGCCACCCGAAAACACATTTATCATTTTTTTTACTAACTTTGGGAACTTTTCAAATATAATGTTCATATTAGAGGCAATGTACACATTCAAGAGTGTTCCAGCAAGTTAAAAAAATGGCAGCGTCAGAACTTCTCTCGCAGCTATTTTGAAATATTTGAAATTTTACGATATTTTATTTTATTTTAAAAATATAAGATACTTCAAAATGTTAAAATTAAACGGTGAAAATATTCGTCTTGCCAAAGCGAACGAATCTAGTTTGATAAATCTACCGCCACCAAAAGAAAAAAAGAATTTCATTGAGAATCTAATATTCCATTTTTACAAATTTTATTGTAAAGCAATCGTTCGTCGATACCCATCCTTTTGTGCCACCTGGAGCCTTTTTCATATATCCCTGTCATAAAAGCCGATGGACGAACAGTCTGAGAGCTTGTTCCTAGCGCTTCTATACTTGAATTTGTTACCTTGGCCATCAACGGCCATTTCGGAACTTAGTAGTGGGTTCAGGTTAGTTGTTATTACCTCGGCAGCTCCCAGCACTGTGATGCTGTTAAGGCAGGTACCAGCCCACCCAGCGGCTTTTCTGGTAGAAGAGCGCGGATCTAAAATGCCTTATGCCGAGGTTTCAGTCATCTCTTCTGCATAACCATTAGCAATCAACGCTTCTAGTGCTCTCTTTCGCCTATATTGGGCCCCGCAAAATAACTTTAAGTGGCTGGATCCATACTAAACCTGCTCTTAATAGTCGTCATTTTTAGGTCATCAATATCAAGGGGCGCTTCTTTGGAACGCCGAATTTTCACTTCTGATGTTGTAACTCGAGGATTCTTCCTCCCGTGATCTCGATTCAACTCCTCAGTGGTGAGTTTAATAGCCTCTAACCTACACTTGCCATTGTCTAGGGCATCCTTTTTTCTCCTTCAAAGTTCAAGCTAACTCTTTGTCATCGTGTCAGAGATCTGCGTACTATGTGACCCAGAGCGCGAAGGCGATCAAGGTTAACTTGTTTTACAGTGTTAGTGAGTATAAACATATGTTCTGTTCCCAGTAAATCTGACGTGAAATTAGATATTTTTATAGCGATTGCGGAAAGAAAGTAGCTCTATTTTGTTGCCCTCTTCAAAATAAGAGCCACATATTCGTTCTCAAAGTTAAGTTAGTTGCAGCTCTCTGCTAGCTATTTATATGCTATCACTATGGATTGTTCTCAGTTATAAAGTCATTCTGCGTGTGCCGACGACTTGGTAATACTTATTTCAATAGGCCATAGTCTGGCAGAATTACCGAAGTTGAAACTCTAGGACCTGATCAATTTAATTTGGAACAGTGCTTCGGTAGGTTAGTGAAGTGATTGATCCCTGATTATGGGAATATCCCACAGAGCACTTACAATGAGCCACTATGACGTCGAGTGAAATTATGGAACATTGCCCTAACCTAACTTGATTCAATCAATGTACATAGTTAAACCCAAT